GCCATAGTCCCAGTGGAGTAAATATCTTAAAGAATATCTTGGCAGCGTAAGAGATAGACAGTACCTCTCTCTGTTTAAGCATCTTTGCTGTCACCAGTTTACCAAATGGTTGTATCAGAAAAGAACCTGCTTTTTCAGATAAAAACTGCCCGTGTTAATCACTATCCATCATCAGATCAGACCAAACTACCTGATAAAGTACTTGACATGTATTTTTCATGGGCATACTAGACTAATGGGCAAGCACACCTACACTGCACACCTAACCTGACAGTGCTGGAGGAGAATGTTAGAAGCTCTTCATTTAAATTAGTTATAAGTGATGCTTTTTCTGATCATTTCTTGGCATTATTGTCAATAGATGCTTAACTCAGGGGATAGTATACAAAATTATTGTATTATTACGTTGTTTTAGGAATAACACACAAAAAAAACACATTTGGACAGATTAAAGGGCACACACAGTATGCATTTCTTTATATTTTGACATGAAAATGCATATGGTGAGTGAGGCAGATAATCTGAACCCATGTTCAGTCATTTTGCCTTCGTTGTTTGACTCAACTGTCATTTTGTGAGGAAAATGTATATGCAAAAAAATATTTTGACTGGCCTCATTCAGAAAAAAGACTATGTTCCTTCTAAATTGTCTTTACATGGCAACATGTAATATATATTTAGCTTATTTCCTTGTTCTGTTGAAAACTTATACAGCTGATCCTGAAGGGGAAAATATAACCCCCCAAAATATCATGATATGTAATAATATCAGGTTTATATCAGGATCAGTGTGTCATTATAAAAAAAAGCTACATATAGGGCCTATTAGTGATATCCAATCAGATTATGCTGTTTGCATGCTCTGATGTATTGCTTCCCGTGTTTATGATCTGCTTACTGTAATTACATTATGGTAACTGTTTAGGTTGACCTGAAGCTGCATCACAACTGGCTGTGTAGTACAGATACAATCTAGCATGTTTAGTTTAGTTTGGCATAGCTATCACTTAAAAAATAAATAAATAAATAAAAAAAAGGGTTAAACAAAATTCAGTTGAAAGTCTGTGTGTTAGGGATGGAGAAAAGCAAATGGGGCAGAAAATAAAAAAGGAGCATGTAATCTACAGTCATGAATCCTTTTGCTACTGTATATTTAAGTTGTAAAAGTAACCCCTAGCCATCCTCTCTTCCCCCTCCTCCTCTGCTCTCCCTGCCTATCAGTGCAATAAACAGTTCAAGGACAAGGCCACCTGCCTCTCTGACCGCCCGGTCACATGACCGCAGCATGCTGTTATTTCTCATGGCGTAGCCCTCCTCTTCTGCCTGCCTGGACTGTTGGATGAATGAACGGATGAACGGATGGATGAATATATCACAAAACACTTTGGAGGAATGGATGTGTTTGGGAATGTCGGGGGGGAGCCATAGTTAAATGGGTCAGGTCCCTTTCACACAATAGTGGCATTACTGTGGGAGTCGTAGGAGCAGACAGGGGAGAGGGGAGAGATAGAGAGGGGGAACACCCAGGCCCTATGTGCCAATTATGGACATAAATAACATCCATACAGAGCTTCCATGGAAATTAGGGTCAAAGGGTTAACTGTGTATTCTTGAGGTTAAGGCCAACTGAAGTGAACAGAGTGAAAGGAAAATATTTAAGCAGGAGCCCAGATCAGGACCTACAGTAGGTGCAGTTTATGTTAATGCCGACAGTGCCCAAGGCCTATACTTAAGATGGGGATTTAGAATAAAGTAACGCTTGTTAAAACTGTGCAAAGGGCTGTGTTGGTGGGTTGATGTGAGTATCATGAGACAATGAAGTATAAAAACCCAGTCAGTGTAAGGTATGGCTGTGGCTGCAGGTACAAAAGTGTTTCTGTTGTTTTTGATTCTCCCGTTGGAAGCACCAAACTAACAGCCACAGAGAAGAAGCTGAACCTCACAGTTTTAAGCATGAGAAGTCATGAAGAATAGACCTTGCCTTTTGCCATATCTGTAAAAAAATAGAGATCGAACAGGTTAGGTTGAGACTCGCCTATAAGCTTGACAATTTGGTCAGAGCAATTTGTTTTTAAAAGACATGTAACCAAACCATGAAACAAGTGACAAATACAGGATGGATTCAAACAAGTCTTGATAAAATAAAATCATAAGGGATTTATCAATATGAAAATGAGACTGTTCTCTAAGATTTTTTTTGATGTTCCTTTTTACAAACAGCTCCACAATTCTCACTACTGGTTAGTTTGGAATCTATGATTGTCTAAAGATATTTGTAGACGTCCACCCATTTGACATTGTAGTTTTTAAAGATCGTAGTCTAATGGTTGGAAACATGGGCTCTAAAATCTGCAATAATTTCCTTTGTCTTGGATATGTCAAGCTCTAAGAAAGAATCATCAAACCAAGGGACCAAGTAATCTGCAATCTGACCATCATATGGCTAGACTCATGTAGCATTTGCCAATGACTGAATCCTCAGCAATCTTCACTATGGTCCCTTTCTCAACTTTACTTTTGCACATGTTTGTGTAAATAAACTAAAGGTAAAAGAACACACCTCTGTGGTAAACCTGTAGATGAACAAAATGCATCGGATAAATCGTTGTTTCCTTTTACACTTTGGGTTCTTTTTGTTAAAAAAATCAATTATCCATCTCACCAGATAAAACTCAAATCAAAGTGTTCCATCAGTCTGATAGTTAGAATATGGGGGTTGATAGTATTCAAGACAGAAGGAAAAAACGATGTATAGCAATCTGGCATGTGTTTTGTTAGCTTGTAGATGTTTGAGAAAAAAGAAGGAGAATGATTTTGGCGTCCTTAACTCCTCTATGTGACCTATAGACAAATTGAGTAGGATCGAGGGCCTGCTTGGTTTCCCTAACAGTCTTTGTCTTCACAAGTTTTTTTTTTTGATTTGCACGTTTTAATATTTTGCTTCTGATATTGTCCTGACACGAGCTCTTATTAACTTTTACAAAGTGAAAGGACTTTTCATCTTCTCTCTGGTCAAAGATATTGTGCTGATTGTCATTTAGTTTACATTTAAGTTACTCAATTTAATCTCTGATTGCATCAAATGTCAAAGCACTGCACAATATGAAATAAAACAGGATTTTAGAGCCCTGGGAATCTTATTCCACTGTTTATCATAAAGGGTGTCACTAGGTACATAGGCGAAATACAGCATTGACATTACAAAGTTATCCACTATAACGTGTGCTTGCATGGTTGTGATTGGTCAGTGCAGGATCCTCAGTGAGAGAGGGCAGGATTTCTGCAATGTTAGGACATGGTGCAATTTTTGGACTGGGCATTTTTCACTATTGGCATGAAACAGCATCAGTTAAATGAGGTGCTGATGTTAGTCAGACATTTCAGAGACTGCTTAATGTATTCTGATTTAATACGAAATAAGCAACAAAGGTGACTTTTGGAAAGCCAAAACTAGCATTAAAAAAAGACTCTTATTCGCTCTTATTTTCAAAAATCAAATGAATGGTGTCTATTTATACTTTGAAAATCAAAGATTTTCAGTGTGTATCTCTTCTTTTATGGTGTCTTGTGTCCCACAGTATTGTGTGCCTGGGGCGGTTAACAAACACCAGACACTCTCATCAGGTGGTTTTTGGTCTGTGTCCTGAACATATGAAGTTGGCAGCATGAAGCAGTATTAACCTTCTAGTGTATGCTTATTTTTAGGGAAGTCAATGACTGTAATGATCTAGATGGTGTTTAAAATGATGAGTAAAATGGTTTGGGGATCAGGTGATAATTGAGGGGTGAAGGACTAAGATTATGAAAATGATACAGTGGACAGTTTACATGGTGTGTCATTTTAACAAGATGATCATAGAAGGTGTAGTAAATGAGCACCCTGCCACGTGTGGTTGTGTTTATGTCTTTTCCTTCCGCTGCCACATCAGACTGTGCTCAGCAGTCTGCCACAGACAGCTGCACCATCACACCCCTGCAGGCAGGCAGTCATGCAGGCAGACAGACAGACAGGCAGACAGGACAGCAGTATGGCTTCATCAGCTGGAGGGAAGCAGCGTGAAGCTGTAATTTAAATATTAGGGCATTACACTCCGAAAACTCAGACACACACATAGATGGCTGTCTGTTAAAATAGTAAAATTATCACACAGTTCATTTTGAGTTATCTATGTTTTTCAGTGCTTCATGTGGTATCCAGTAAAAGAAAATCCAACATTGATAGACTTGAAGACACATAAATAAAATATTTTAAAAGCCTCTATTTTAAGAAGAATAATGCCTTAAGAGAAACCTGTGTTATGTAACTGAATTCACAATGAGTGAAAGTGAAAGATGCCAGACTAGCTTTAGTTGTAATTCAGTGTTGTGGATCAGAAGAGCAGCTTTGCTGCAGCTTTCTCAGATGACCCAGCGGGGAATAATAGATGAGTGTCCACTCAGTCTTCTGCACCTCCCTCAGTCTCCTTGTTGGCCGTTTACTCGCACTGCTGTCATTCTTAATCTTTTCACATGTAGACATTTTGGACTCAAGGACTTAGTCCTGCAAATACATGAGCGTCTTCATGGCTGCTAGGCAATCCACAACCCTGTCTACTGAAACTGAACAGGATATGGAAACACTATGTGTACATGACTGTTAAACTTTTGAAGTTACTTACAACCTTTGTTTTTATGATGCGTCAGTGATTATTTTGTGTGTTAGGTATATGTGTATGCACTGTTTAAATGTGCTATCACTATCACCACTACAAACTATTGCTCAAAGTGGGATGTTCAGGTTATTTCATACCAGTTTAGTCCTAATTTCTTTTGTTTTTCTGCGTTAGTTGTGCAGTGTACAGTGATGACCACAGGCCTATCTGCTGCTCCAGACAGAGCACATTGGCTTTAAAACACTATTTTTGCTGCAGGATCATTGTACAAGATTATATTTAAATATATATGAACCTCATAAATGTGCCTAAAGTTACTGATCATTGTCCCTTTTTTTTCTGTTACAGAGTGCAGCGATGGAGGAAACAGTTATATGGGAACAGCACACAGTGACCCTTCACAGGGTAAGTGTTTACAACTCTAAAACCCACTCTCCCCTCTCTACTCTTTTGTCTTTCCCCTCGCTTGACTGTCTCTGGTATCCCAATCATGAAGCATGTCTTCTATGGTCTTCAGATTTTTTGCCTTTCTATTCGTCTTCGTCCTCTGCCTGTCCATGTCTTTTCTTTCTCTGTACTGAGAGGGCCAGCTGTAGGAGCAGGATGTGTGGTACTGAAACAATAGTCAGGGAACCCAGATGGCAGGAAACAAGGCTGAGGAAGACAGAAAGCAGCATCCACTTCCTTACTACTTCATTTCATTTCCTTCCTGTTGGCAACACACTCATCTCCTTAACACAACTCCAGGGAAGAGGGGGGTGTTGGTTTTACTCATTGTGCTTTTTTCCTTTGTAAAGTCACATGTAGCTGTGATAGATTGTGTCTCCTGACCTAATCAAACATCTGGATAGAAGGTGCCTTATTTTAACAACTAAACAATTCAAAGCCACATTCCTTAAGTGAATATACACATTGTATCCTTTGCTGAATTTCTGATGTACTTTGCTTTGAGACAGTAAACTAGCTAGCTGATGGCTTTTTGCTGTGGGATTGTGCGGAGCACCTGTCTAGACTGGCATGCTTGCTGTAATCTAATTATTAGCGGCTTTATTGAGGCTGAAGGAGCAGCCCAGTGTGCCTGTGGTTCTCAGTCTCTTGGTCTCCGGTGTTGTTGTGGTTGTAAGATTAGCCATTTACATCACATAGCTTTCTCCCTTGTGTCTGGCTTTTGCATAAAACACAGCAGTCAACAGAACCTCCATGGAAATCTCTTGGAACATTTACAGCAAAATGTGCAAATGCATTGCTTTGTTCTTATCTAAAAACGATGTCCCAGTCTTTTAAAGCCCTTCTAAATTGCATAGAGCAAATTGCATTAGTTTAGTTTAATTTAACTTTTAATTAGCCTATGGAGAGCTTATTAATCTGTTTTTGTTAACAGCAAAGCCGGGTACAAGTCCAATGCATCCACCACTTTTGCCATATCAGTCAATGCTGTTTGTATTTCTGTGTGTGTAGGCTCCAGGTTTTGGATTTGGAATTGCCATCTCAGGTGGGCGAGACAACCCTCATTTCCAGAGTGGGGAGACATCCATTGTGATATCTGATGTCCTGAAAGGAGGCCCTGCAGAGGGACTCCTACAGTAAGTCTTTAACAAACTGCTCACATCTATTTATATTATTAACACAAAAATTCTTTTAAGCATAGTAGTTGAACCTCATAATTACTTCAAATAAGTGTTCCACATAAGCGTCGACTTTGTTATGATTGATACATTTAAGTAAATCTGTTCAACTTTTTTGACATACCTGATGGAATTTTTTGATTGTTTCAGAGAAAATGATCGAGTGGTGATGGTCAATGCAGTTTCTATGGACAACGTAGAACATGCCTATGCTGTGCAGCAGCTCCGGAAGAGTGGCAAAAATGCAAAGATAGTAAGTTTTAAATGGAAAATTGTATTTACCAAACTTAAATTTGTGTGAACAGAATCACCTGATGTCTAATGGCATGATTTAAAGGTGGGGGTTTACTCATGCAGTCTGACAGAATGTTTTCAGTCAAATTAATTATTATTATAGAATTATTATTTACTTCGTAACACTCTGAACTTTTTGTGTATTCCTAGACTATTCGACGAAAAAGGAAAGTGCAGATCCCTGTTTCTCGGCCAGGGGACAGGGAGACAATGTCAGAGCACGAGGAGGAGGACAGTGATGAGGAAGACAGTTATGAGCCCCAGCATGCTCGGGGTGGGCAAAGTGCCTATGAAGGAGCAAGTGGAGGCACGAGCACAGGCAGGCGTGATCGTGAGCGTAGCAGCAGCGGCAGGCGGGACCACAGTGCCTCGCGGGAGAGGAGCGTCTCTCCACGCTCTGATCGGCGATCACAAGCGTCCTCTGCTCCCCCCAGGCCTGCCAAGGTCACCCTGGTCAAGTCCCGCAAAAATGAAGGTGGGCAACACAAGGTCCAAGAACTTGAGAATCTGGCCATGCACATATTGTTCTTGTCTTGCCTGCTAGGCTTTTGTGCAGAGTGATGATTACATTGACATGTCCTATTAACATTACTTTGTCATGCTTCTTAACTCTGAAAGTAGAATATGGACTGCGGTTGGCCAGCCACATCTTTGTGAAGGACATCTCTCCTGAGAGCCTTGCCGCCAGAGATGGAAACATTCAGGAGGGAGATGTTGTTCTTAAGGTATGAGGAATGAGAAAGAGTGCTTGTGTAAATTAACCTGAGTAAGACAGGGTTTATAATAAGGGAAAAACACAATAATGGGGGAATTTAACTGATAAATGATCAGAAGAAGAAGCATTATCTATATTCATCCATGAAGAAAAAAACATGGTAAAAGAGAAGAGAGGATCAAGTTTGTTTTTTAGTTTTTTTTTATTACTGAAACTTTCACTAGTCAGCTCTGTTTAACAGTGAGCTGCTGAAAGCGTCACTCAGAGTGAGGTCACGGCTCATCATTATGCAGGCACACCAATGGAAATACCATGCATTCCATTATTCCTTTGAATTTTTATCCACTCAATCTCTGAGGAAGGATAAATCCCTTTTCACAGTGAAGAGATGCATTCAAAATCCAATTTAGTGTTACCATTTTTCTGAGAAAGGCAGAGACACGTTCTTTTTGAAATGCAGTTGCGAAGCAAAGACCTGTGTCAACAAATATTTGAATTAGGAATATGAGAGCACTCAGTATTGTAAGCCTAATTATATCATACATTTTAAACTTGTTAATAGCTTTTTCTACTATTCCATATTTAAGATGTCTTAATGGTTTGTATACATGAACTAGACCATGCATAACTCTTTTTTGACTTGTGGTAAACAATCGTGCAGTGAATATAACTTTTCTGTTCAGTTTCTGTGCTGACCTGCTCTTTTCCTCTTGAAGATCAATGGCACAGTTACGGAGAATCTATCGCTGATTGATGCAAAGAAGCTGATTGAGAGGTCAAAGGGCAAATTGAAGATGGTAGTGCAGAGAGATGAGCGGGCCACACTGCTTAACATTCCTGACATGGATGACAGCATCCCATCAGCCAATAACTCCGACAGAGATGGTGAGACAACAGACTTGTATAATATTCTGGTAGAATGCCACAAGTATCTCATTTCACTAGCTGAAATTGTTACAAAATGACAAAGTTATTATCACCACTATTTTATTATTTTAACTCTATCTTGATTTAGGTCATTGATGAAATACTAATCCATATTTAATTTAAATTCAACAGACATTTCAGAAATACATTCTCTGACATCAGACCATTCCAATCGATCTCACGAGAGAGGCAGTCGTTCTCGATCACCTGACAGGCCTGAAACATCGGACCATCTCAGTCACTCACCTCGGCAGATAAGCAATGGCAGGTAAGCGAAGCACACATGCACACACCTGTTACTGCAAATCTGGTGATGGGACATAGCTGTCACACATGCCAGAGTCATACATCCACACCCCCACCACTACGACTTCATACATCATGTTCGCAGCCGCAGGTTAGTGGGTGCTGAGTAAGTACCTTGCACCACTAATACATAAATCAATAGATAAAGACATTGCATGCATAAACCATGACACTCCCTGTGGAGGTGCCTCTGAGTTCCACTAATGTCTTGCTCTTAGATTGATTGATCCGTCTCTCCCTGGTGGACTAGGGCCTAACTGTGGAAGCGTACCAGATGTTCTGACCATTTTTGTACTGTATGAGGTTGTCTCACATTCATAAAAACACTTTTACACATGAAAAGTGTACATTTATTTTATCTAACAAGTTGTGCAAATTTACTGTTAAAACCAATACAAATGTGAGTGCTCTAAACATCAGGACTTGAAATAGGATCCATATTTTATAATGCATATGTGATAAATGGGATGCCCTACTGTGCTTTTCTATCTATGAATTTAATATCCATACTTTCTTTTTCCTTTTTTACTGCCAGTTGGAGCTTCCAGTAAGTTACCTTTCATGTAGTTGTGTAGAGGTTGCTTAGCTTTTTGTAGCTAACAAACACATAGATGGCAAAGGAGAGCGAGAGAAAGACATGCAAGTAGATAAACGTAGTTTCTCTCACATAGGGTGCAGCTTGAGCTTTGCAAGGTTATCTGTCAATGACAAGGAATCAGCTTTGTTGAAGGATGAGACCTCAAAACTTGAGTCCACTTAATAATCAGTTTCCACATAGGAAATGTGGGTATGGGTATGTTACTGTTGTCTGTTCACAGTCAATAGTTCTGTGTGATACTATGAAGTAGAGGTCTGAATTGAATGAGAGGTACAAATCAGTGCTTCACTCCAGCACTTTTTCAGGATGGGACTGTCAGAGTCTCACAAATAAGACCTTTATATCTCTAATATGGGCAGTGAAGTGCAGACACAGTGGTCTTTCCTGCGGGTTAGAATTGAAACCTAACATTGATTATCATTTAGATGTTGAACAAAAATTACAAATTTGACCTTCAGATAACCTTATGTATAAGCAGGTGAGAAAACAAACCAGAAGAGCTATTCAGGAGGCTATTTCAGTCACATTGTTAACCAGAAAGTGTAATCATCCCCTGTCATTTTGATAAGACAGAAGTCTTATGATGCAAGATATGTGGGCTGTATTATAGCCCTGCTGTTCATGAAAACTCTCTCAGTGAGAAATATCTGACCGGAACAGGTCTGCAATACTCCAATTTAGCAGCAAACCCAGCAGCCTAATTCAGATATTACTCACATTGCATATTTTGCACAGAACAAAAACCTAACAGCTTTTGTAGTTGCAGCCTGTTAGTTTAGTATCCCACTGTTAGTTTATTATCCTGCCTCACTAGTTGCTTGTCAGTCATATGTGTAGATTAACCTCCAGTGATTCCATTCATTAGTTGGTCCATAGTGTCAGTGTGTGAAGTAACCATACTTGTTTCAATGCAGGATGAGGGCAGGTTCACTGTTGCAAAGATTACTTCCAATGTAAGTGAATACATCCCTCTGATTACAGAGGCCACTATGTGTTTGTATTCTGCATATACCACTGTAATTCTTACTGCTCTTGCTCTGATCCCTCTTTTAGTGTTTTGTATTATTTAGCTGTCCCAAAGTAAGAAAACTGTTTTTAAGACTGTATTTTTCATTACACATTGTGTCTGGCTAGTTGATCTTGTTAGTGTGGTAGTGATTTTAAATGTACAACAACAGAGTGTCATTCGCTAGACTGTGATGTCAGAGAAAGATTTAATTATCTTGCAGGTTTAGGAGGGGGAGAAGGAATTTGACATAGTTCCCACAGTGCTTTGTCCTAAGCCAGATGGTGCACCTATTCTGATTGGCTGTAGGGCTTAGAGGAATTATTCTGCTCTGTGCATGATGCTGTGTTTTATACTACAAATCATCATCATAAGTATTAGAAAACTTGCATAGAAAAAAGGTTGTCGGTGGTGCCTGTTGAGGAACTCAACTAAAATTCTTCCTAAAAAGCGTCATGGTTCACCTTACAGATGCATTTGTGTGAGTAATATATTTTTGTAGTTTTTCTTTAAAATTTTGTCTTTGATTTTAAGAATCTTGGTTTGCAGAGTGACATTATTTTGTTGAACTCTGTTTGGCTACCACTGCAAATATGTCTAGTAGGAATGGTGTGTGTTTTGTTCACTTTTTTAACGTTTTAAATATTTAGAAGCGTGTGTTTGGATATAAAATGATGGCCCTCAGATCTTGAAAGATTCAGTTTAGTTTTTGCATTGTTTGTTGATGTCCGTGCAGCCACCCTCTCTTGCCTGTATTGTGAAAATGAATAAGAGATGGGATTGAACAAAGCTTTCTGTCAAATGGTGTTTGTCAGTGTGCAGCCTTTTTTAGAACCACTCGGCAGAAGAGAACAGCCGATTTAGGCCACAACGCTCTCTTTCTCACTTCTCTCTCTGTGTCTGTCCTTGGCATTTATTTTATTTTCACTCTATCTCACACCCATTCATCTTTAACACACTCCCCCTTCTCTCTCTTTCTCTCTCTCCCCCCCACACACAGTCTCTCTCTCTCTCTCTCTCTCTCTCTCTCTCACTCTCTCACTCCTAATACAATTCTGTTATTTATTCTCAGGCTGCAGCTTTCCGCTGACATAAGAAATAGTAGGATCAGATTAATTTGCATAAACTGAATTGTAGTGAGAGCTGCTAGATTCAGGGAGCTAGAGAGGACTGTGGTGTGGTGGAAAATATGAAGAATAAGCTGCATAATCAACAGGTTTACCCCAGGTATCAGTGTGTTGTTGTTTTAAAATGGGTGTCTTCACTTTCTTAAAAAATGAAAGAACGGACATCGTTGAAGTTGCCTGGTGTGGGCAAAGCCTGCACCTTCACATTCTTCTAGGAAAGCCTCCAAAAACAGCTCAAGAACTGCCAGCGAGCAGTCATGTGACTACATAGGAATTCAACCATTGTTTTAAGCAGCAGAGCCCTTTCTACTCTGTCAGACTTGGCCTACTAGACTCACTAGACCCACAAGTGAATACACACTGTATTCACTTGTACATTTTATCCAGGTTAAATAGGAACATGGACTGAAAAGTATCCTAACTCTAGAGCTTATGTTTGATGACTAACTTTTCTTTCTTTACCTGTTGGCATTTATAAGAGAGGTTTCACTTAACAGGAACAAATGTGATTTGGAAAAGAATGAATGAACATGAATAAACCCTGTCCGCTTCAGTTCAATCAAATGTGAGTTTCAGTTTGGGAATTACGTGAAATGCCTTTGACTGACTTAGTTAACTACATAAGAAAAACACCAGAGATCAAACTATCAACCAAAATAAATCTGATGGATGACGTTTAACAAATGAGATGCATAGTCTTTCTTGCCATCCATTTTTCACTTCACATGCCCTTGTCACATAATCTTGTCCATACTGTTTCCATATTTTGCTTGAGTGTCTATATATTCCTGGTCAGTACAGAACAACATCATGAAAAAAAGACATAATCTAATTCTAACATATTTACATTAGCAGAGATCTTGAAGTGATTTAAGGAATGCATTTATGTACACTATCATCATTTGTAGCATTTGCAGTCAACTGACATTGAATGGCATTGATTGTGTGATTTTTGCTTATTTCAGCCGTCGAAGCAGAGATGAGGAGCGTGTATCTAAACCAGGAGCCATGTCCACACCAGTCAAGAGCTCTGATGATGGCGTCTTGTCACAGGCCAGTGACCAGGCCAGCTCCAGAGATGACAAACTGTTACCTCCGCTGCCTGGTACAGAAACCTCTGCCAATCTTCTATCAGCAGGAGAAGCTCTAATACTTCATTATAAAGGAGTTCAGTGTGTGTTTGATGACAAATAATTATGAGACAATTAGCGACTTCTGTAGTAACATAAGTCATCATGTAAGGGGTTAGATTTAACTTTACACAAGACTCCAACATTATTGGTCAATGCCTCTAATAACAGAGAATATAGTCCGTTGTTTAGTGAATAAAAACTAGTCAACACATTGTTTTATCGTTTATTATTAATTACAAACTATCTCACACATTCTTTTCCCATTTCTGAAAACCCTGACATAAGCGTATGTTACAAATACTTGTTACTAAACTGTATGTATGGAATCTGATGGTTTAACTTTTACACTTGTTTTCACTATATGCCTGCACCTGGCTTTTTTTTTTTGATGCTATGCAAGTGTTGTTCCACCTACTGTGTTTGTTTTTTTGTGTCAGAACCAAAACCAGTTTATGCACAACCTGGTCAGCCTGACGTGGACCTGCCTGTCAGCCCCACGGACGCCCCTGTACCCAGTGCTGCTCATGATGACAGCATCCTCAGGTAAACGTCTTAGCACTCTAGATGCAGAACTGCATTGCAATATGTGTATGGGTGCATAGTGTACTTTATTTGTTTTCTATTGAAGACATTTAAAAAAGAATGATTAAAAAACGTTTTTTGCCTAATGTGTTTATGTCTCTTTCCCTGAAGGCCGAGTATGAAGCTGGTCAATTCAAGAAGGGAGAGAGTGTGGGCCTGCGGTTAGCAGGAGGAAACGATGTGGGGATTTTTGTGGCTGGAGTTCTGGAGGACAGTCCTGCAGCTAAGGAGGGGCTTGAGGAGGGAGACCAGATTCTCAGGGTAAGCTCCCATCCTTCACTTAAAAGAGTATTGTTTTGCCTTATGCATGAACCTGATGTTTCAAACAGTATGTGAAAATAAAATGCAGTGAGGAATTTAGAGAATCCCAGTTTACTCAGCTACATTTTAGTTGTAGACCCCTGATCTGTTGGCTATATTCAGTATATGCTTGAGCACATTTCTAGATAAGTACATCTATGTGACAGATATGCTGAAGAGGGAGGGTATCACAAAGGCAGCAGTGCAGTTGGTTGGAAAGAGAGTGTTACGTGTGTTGGCTTCAAGAAATAAATCTCAAAGTGTGGCTAAAAAGGGAAACTGAGATAAGAATATCTGAGTGTGGTTTCACAGCTGAAGTGGTCTATTTATAGCTGAGGCTGTCCTTTCTTTGCACCGTCAGTCAAAGCGCTCCAAGAATATATGTCCTCGGGCTGTACTGTCATTTATCAAATATGCCAGCCTTGGTTGAAAAATTGGACGTTGGACGGGAAGAAATCTGCTGCATACAAATCCCCAGGGGTGTGCAAATGTCTTCTCTGGTTTCCCCCTTTACCCAGAATTCTTCCAGACTTGATTTGGGGCACTTGTTAACATAGTGTATGTGTTTTTTGATTCTCTAAATTCCTTACTGCATTAAAAAAGTGAATGTTGCATACTGTTAGTGGCCAAAGAAGAGCTTTTTATTTTAATGTTTGGTTCATTGCAGTTTGTCTTCTTAGTATTTTAAACATTTTCAGATGTTTTCGAAGGCTTTGTTTACTGTGCGAGTCTATTCTAGTTTTGCTATTTAGAAAATATTAACCACTCCTTTTTTCTATGTCGTATGTGGGAAGAACATCTGGTGTTATTGTCAAAATAGTCCTGCAGAAGCAGCCTACACTAACTGAGCTAATCAGTGGTGAAACTGTGCAAAACCATGATTACAATCGTTTTAATTCTGGGTAAACAGATCTTGGGAATAAAGTACAATGTATGTGTCAGTCTGTGAGTCATCCCGGGCTCAGCCTTGAGTCAAAAATCCCCTTGTTTTCACTGTGAAGACACAATAGAGGTCGTTCTTGCACTCTGACCTCGGAACAGTTGACTGTCTGTTTTGCTGAACACTAGGGTAACATTGTTGAAGGGATGATGGAAACCCTCTTGATGTCAGTGTTGGATACACTCTGACATGATTGTTAACCAGCCAAGGATTACACCTGCTCTGTTTAATGCTGTAACTGTGCAGCTTTATAGAAGTGCTCTGTGAAGAAGAGGCTGAATACTAGGACTCACAGACACACACATACACACACGATTTTCTTCTGTGACACTGAAGTTTATGGACTTCATTGATCAGATAAACAAAGCTGTACATTACCTCATTGACTCATTCTCTAAATAAATATACTATGTCTTGTGTTCTTCCCACCTCACAGCACATATCTCTTGTTTTTGTGCCTCTGCCTTTTTTTTTTTCTCCCCCTGCACAAACACATCTAAGAGACTTCCAGGACATTGTTTTCCGTCTTTAGAAGGTTTTCCTTTGGTGTGCTAGTGGAGATAAAGACGTCAAGCACTCCTGTTTCTGGGAAGGATAAAGGTGTCTTGCTTAGATTCAGTGATTCAGCCCATGTGTTTCTGGTTCCCCTGCTGCCCCTCATGCAGAGTCAATAAACAGTGGTTATTGTGTTTGGGAAAGAAGCTGGAGAGTAGGAGGAGAGTACATCGCCCTGCTTCTGTTAAGGAAAAACCCTTTCTTCCTTATATTCCTCTAGTTCTGGGAGAAAGAAAACAAGTGATACCTGTGTTTTTTTTAAAGAAAATGTAAAGACAATGAGACAATAAAACTGAATAATTTGATATGATATTTTAAAAATGTATGCTTATAAAGTTTGCCTAAAATAATATCAGATTTTACTTTTCCACTAGACCTTCATGGACTGTGAGTTAATTTCCTCTTTATTCTCTGTTTTCTTAATTTAATAGGTGAACAATGTGGACTTTGCAAACATCATCAGGGAGGAGGCTGTGCTGTTTTTGCTGGATCTCCCACGGGGAGAAGAAGTTACTATTTTGGCCCAGAAGAAGAAGGATGGTGAGCGATTGCATCTTAAAACAAATGTGTCAACGAGCACACTTTAAGGGTTGCTGTAATCATTTTTTTTTCTGCTTTTCTTCCAGTGTATCGGAGGATAGTGGAATCGGATGTGGGTGATTCCTTTTACATCAGGACACATTTTGAATATGAAAAGGAGTCACCCTATGGGCTGAGCTTTAATAAGGGCGAGGTGTTCCGAGTAGTAGACACCCTCTACAATGGAAAGTTAGGCTCCTGGCTTGCTATCCGTATTGGCAAGAACCATCAGGAAGTGGAAAGGGGCATCATCCCCAACAAGAACAGGTAAAAGAAGTTTCAGGTCACACCTTTTAATACCTGTGCAACTTGTTTTATTACTTTATGAATGGACATGGGAGGAGGCAAATGAATAGAAGCGTTCTAGTTTGTCTTCAGTAACTGGGGCAGATTTGAGAGCACATCTTTCTTTTTACCCAGTTGGTTTAATCTGCTGTATTTTAACGCTTCAGGACTGTATGAGGGTTGTTTCTTTGTTACAGTACAAACTGGGAGTGTTTTTAAACTAGGGCATACTCAACACATTCCATGTGAAAAGTAAAGTGATTGTTAAGTATCTACTTTGTGGGGTTTACGAGAACTTGGAGAAGTCTGTGTGTTGGACCATATGTAGTGCAGATCTCTGCAGCTTTCACTAGCCTCTGGCAGTGTTTACACAGAGATTCCATGCTGTCCTGTTGACAAAAAGACAACTTTCAGCATGCTGCAGGCATTATTATCACAAACATTAACTATAGGGAAATTCATCTCAGCTCCTTTGCCAAGTTAAGCCTGCCTCCCTGGATATTCATTTGAAACATAAAGCAAGGAAATCACACTCAGGATTTAATAATATTTTTCATAAACATACATCAAAGGAAGACGTGTTATTATTCAAAGCCACTAGGAATGATTTCTTCCCTCTCTAGGCCCGCTGCCTTACAAACTTTCTGACTTCCTTCTGTTTTAGAGTTTTTTCAGGGATTACATGAGATGTATTTACACATCTGCAGGCATCTAATACATCAGATTTAAGGAAACAGATGTGGAAATGATTGCCAGCATCATAAAGATATAGTTTCTAAATCTGTAATGGTGGAAAGTATGTCTAAATAAAATAATTTTGAACTCTGCTTTATATTGATGTTGCAGTTACTGTACCAGTATAATTTTTTTCCCGGCTCACCGTAGCATAGTAAGCTAAATGCTGCTATCCTGCTCATGATTTTGCTCCATCACCTTGGTCTGAGCTACAGAGTTACCTTATAGTAGATCATTGTTTTAGCTTGGTAGATTTCAAAACCAGGATAGGTTTATTAAAGGATAATTTGTCCAGGGTAGATATGTCTTACTACTGAATGTTGCCAAATTTCCAATGATGTGATTTCTGCTTATTGGTCGTTGTTGTTTTTTTGTGTGGTATTTTTTGCTGCTATCCTGGCAAATACTCACTGTTAAAATATGTTTTCTTATCTCAACGGGAATATTTCTGAAAAAATAAAGATTAAACAAAAAATAAATAAATAAACCTTAATTATCTTAAATTAGTGCTGATTGTGCCAAATACTCCATACGCGCCACGGTCCATCAGCGCCATGCACTACATCGTAGTTCGCTACCAATCTAGTCAATCATTGTGTTTCCACAGCGAGCGCAGCGGTCTGTCTCCGGAGTGTGCCAGTAGAGCCACTACGCTCTGCTCCGTTTCAAATACGCTGCTGAGTCTATTTTCCATGGAGTGCGCTACAGGTTCGCTTTAGCTGGACAGAATATGACAACTCGGACAGGAAGTCAGACAAGGAAACGCACAGAGCATCCGGTCAATTTCAGAATGAAACACAATATACGGACTCGCAATCTTATTTTTTTATCACTTTATCAACATGTCAAAACAGTCACCGAATGAAGAAAAAAAATCATCCTCAGGGAGACAAAACAACATTTTAGCACGTTTTCTCTTTATTCCCGCGTGATCTTCGATACAAAACGGATACAGTGGGGCAGGGCGCGTGCCTGTCCGACGGAGCGAAAACCGTGGCGTACATGTGGGGTATGTGGGGATTGGGGGTTAACTCCTGACAACTGTCTGACATATCTTTTCCCTGTCCAGAGCTGAGCAGCTATCCAGTGTGCAGTACACCCTCCCCAAAACACCAGGGGGCGACAGAGCAGACTTCTGGAGATTCAGAGGATTGCGAAGCTCCAAGAGGAATTTGCGGAAGAGCAGGGAAGACCTGTCTGCCCAGCCAGTCCAGACCAAGTTCCCTGCATACGAGAGGGTGGTGTTGAGGGAAGGTAAGAGGTCATGTGCAATGGCAGTTACAGTAATCAAATGGAGAATCTCACATAAATGTATACGTTTTTGGAGGGTAATTTGTAGTGTAGTTTATAATCATGTGTAGCTACACTTCACACAGTTCCAGACTGAGGAGGCAAATAACTATCACATTCATTACAAGTTGTTTCCCTGTTACCAAATATTCAGTGAAGTTTGCTTCTCGTCTTCTTTTCTGTCAGTGCCTGGTGTAAAGGGGCTTCATTAAGCTGCATTTGACCTGTACAGTTCTGAGAGATTTAACATAACTTATTGATGAAAAGAATGTATGATGTGATTAAGTATTGTGTTTTAAGTGTTGCATAACGCTAACCTTTTCTGTAATCTCCATGACATGTTCTTGTTCTGGTGCAGCTGGGTTCCTGAGGCCTGTGGTTATTTTTGGGCCAATAGCAGATGTGGGAAGAGAGAAACTGGCCAGGGAGGAGCCAGACATTTTTGAACTAGCAAGTAAGTACAAATGTTCCCATCTCCATCTCTCTCTAGTATCAGTCTAGTCTAGTCAGTGCCTCTATTAGGTATCCTGAAGTTTCCTACTCTCAAAGCAGCGCTACGTGTTGGAGGACGACCTAATAGAATCTTTGGAACCCCTGTGTTCATTCAAGAAGTACCTTGTTAATGGTGCCTGAAGTTATTGCTTCTGGGAGATTTAAAGAGATTTTTAGCTCATCTACAGACAATTTGATTGGTTAAGCACAGATAGAGCATAAAATGTATTCCCCAAGTTAAGTTTTTAATTCAAGACAAATGTAACTCTCCTGATTTGTGTGCAGTGAAACAACGACAGCTTGTTGTGGGTTTAAACGTGATTCAATTCATCAACTTAATTTAGTATTTTATTTTAAAATGCACCTGCCGTAAAATTTGTGCATTTGTGGCCATGTCTGTAAAATAGCTTTCGATCGGTAATAGCGCCATAAAATACCTCTCTCAGCAGCTATTGTGCTATATTGGTAGCAGTTTACTTTTAAGAAGAAAAAAAGGTATTAAAAGTGTGTCCTATACACCGGATTAAACAGTAATTTCATGTGTATGAGCAGAAAACTGTTCAGACCTGAGATTAAAAAATAGATAGTGACAGAGTGATTATAAAGACACTGAAGTGTGTCTTACACACTGCTGGTTGTTCTTAGCTACACAGGGTTACATAGGGTTAGAAACATACTTCTGGAGGGTTCTAGGTCTTTTTTTTCTGTAGAAATGTTTCAAGTCCAGCTGCTACTACTGTAACTACTGTACTTCTAAAATATGCCCGGCATATTTTAGAAGTTAGTCATTTCCTCCATTTGTTTTGAGCCTTTCTCTTTCCATTTCTCTGATAATATTTATTTGTTCTAAGCAGATCTCGTCACTCCTCTTATTTCATCCCTCTTTCCCTCCCCTTTACTTCTTGTGGTTTGAAGCTTCTTTAGTGTGTGTTTTTTTTTTATTTAAACATTATTGAATTCCAATGACTTAAGTGCACAAACACATGCCAATGCAACCACACACATTTTTATTACACACTTATAGATAAGTGGTTCCAATTGTTGATGTGTACTTGCATAACTCCAGTGCTGTTTGTGTAACTGTATTTTCTTTTCAGAAACACAGCAGCAACAAGGAGGGGAAAGTATGTTACTTAGTGCATCAACTTTTTGTTTTGTTTGATTTAATCCAGTTAATTGGACATACCCTGTAATGTAGTGTTTGTTGGCTAGCTAAACAATACATATTTAATCAATGTGTTTAGGGGAATAGCACTTTAGTAATGAATTCATAACTTTTCACTATAATTGGCAAAAATATTTGTTATTTTTCATACTTTACTCATACACATTATTCTTAACATTTAAAAAAAAAAAAAAAAAAACAGCCTCAGACTCGCACACAAAAATCAGACAAATCCACCTTTGATGTAACATTTTATTTATTTATTCATGAACAAATTGAATTCAGTGGTATTCCCCTAGTAAATGCTGGTTGCATCATGTAGAAAGACAAACGCAAGGCAGCATGTGGAGCTGTGCAGTTAGAAGGGCCATGAAGCGGACATGTTCAAGTTGCTTTTCAACAAAACTTTTATTTGATTTTAAAATTATGTTATGTTATGTTAAGTTTCATGGAATTTTCGCTTATTTGGGGCTCAAACAGTTGACACCCGTTTTTATGTTTTTTGCTCATTTTGCCAGTCAAATGCAACATGCTAAAATGATTAGCAACGCTTTGCTCATAGACATTCAATGACGAAATGTCCACTTTAACATCCATTATAACACACCACAAAGTATTTATGAAATCAAATTAAACCGTCATCAACTTCCTCAGTCAGCTCGAACAATAACCATCTGCCTGTGTTCAAATCCTAAGACATATCTCATGCCATGTGATTCAGACACAGGGATAATATAATAAATAAATATCAGTTGTAACATTGTATTACTGTGAAGTGTAAACAAATGGAACATTTCATAGCTCACAACTATCTAAGTACAGCTGCAGCGGTACTCTACAAGAGCACAGCAAACATTGTACATGACACAAAGTGGTTTGTTTGTGCGTGTGTCTGTTTAACCTTTCATAATGCAATGAAGCACATAAATTTTTTATAAACAGTGAGAGGACTGAATCCCCGATTTTAAATATTTTAAATTGCTGCTGCATACGCTTGAATCTTGACTTGTTGCATGGCTACATTTATCTGCTATTTAAAAAAATAATTATGGGTAATTTAGAGCAGTTTTTTTTAGATTAGAGTTTGGTCTGACGATGTGTTTTAGTCATTACTACACTAAACATCCCGGTGAAAGGACTGCCATCTTTTGAACCTTGTGTGTATTGACAGGACACTATTGCTTATCTTGATGTGAATCATAAACCCCTCCATACATCCTTGCTTACTACCCTGAGGCTTATAATGACACTGAATTCTCATTCATGCCAAATGAACCCCATTCTCTTGTTTGTGCACAGTCCATATCAACTTTTCTCACATAACACATTTCCTGCACCATAATTTATACCGTCACATGGGGGTGCAATCACAATTCTTAATCTTCACAAGATACCTGATGACTTCTGCATGAATTGGCTGCTGTCCTCATCTTGTCTATCAGCTGTAAACGCATAAACGTGCACTTGTCCTCTCCTGTATCCAGATGATTACTCTGTATTTAACTGCTATTTATGGGAGTTGACAACTGCACGCTGCAAGGATGTCTAATTGGGGGCACTGCTTGTGTTTGTTATTGTTTGTCTCGTGCTGATGTGATGCACTCACTCTTGTTTGTCTTCCATAGAGAGTGAACCCAGGGATGCAGGAACCGACCAGAAAAGCACCGGCATCATTCGACTGCACACGATCAAACAGATCATCGATCGGGTGAGACAAACTAGATATGAGCTGATGTTCAGTCAAAAGGCAGAAATATGAATATCTTTTGACAGATGTCAGGTGTAAAGTTTATTGTAATGAAAAGATGGCAGCAAGTCATAGTGATAAACATATGTAGCTCACTGCTGCCACCTGGTGTATTGTACTTTTTAACACTTTTAGGTATGCTTACAAGGGTGTGAAACTTAGCTGCATACAATATGTGAAAACAAAAAGATGAAAATTTGCTTACATTTAAGCATTTAGGAAATACTACAAATATAAGCAATTTTACAGTGAAATTGACAAGTCTTATTTTATTTGTCTTCTCTACATTAAGGACAAGCATGCAGTGCTGGACATCACTCCTAACGCTGTGGACCGTCTGAACTACGCTCAGTGGTATCCGATTGTTGTTTTTCTCAACCCAGACACCAAACAGGGCGTCAAGACCATGAGGACCCGCCTCTGCCCTGAGTCCAGGAAAAGTGCCAGAAAGCTCTATGAACGAGCTCTCAAACTAAGGAAGAACAACCACCACCTCTTCACCAGTGAGTCCACAGGGGGACAGAGAGGGGGGGAGGAGGGAATGAAAGAAAGATGGATTCTTCTGTCAGATTTTTTTTCAAATGCTTGTTCAGCACAGGCCATCACAAAAGAGCACTCCAAGGTCCCTGTTTCAGCAAGCAGTCTTTCTGTCAAGGGGTCAGGAGCATTGTTATGAATAAAGATACAGAGCATATTAAATGTTTCACATTCAGTCTTGGCAGCACACATATTCAGTCGATTATTCACATAAACTTCTATCCATCAATGAATTAACACAACTAGCTGCATCTCTCTCTTAATCTGTATCAACTGGATTTCATTTGAAAGCTATGTTGTAAAACATACATTTAACATGTGGCTCATGAGGGGAGAGAGTGCAGTAAGGTGATTGACCTCTTAGATGCTCTGTTGTCTCCTTTTTGGGATGATGGTGAGATTTAAATTATTTGATAATCTTGACCTACATATAACTACATTTATTCTATGTGCCTTTAGTGACTTGGGTTTTTCAAAGTCAAACAGCATAGGTAACATTTATGAAGTCCTACATGAGGAAATTGCTTTAACTACTACTACAAAACTACTACTGCTAAATTACTACGGAGTCCAGACAGACATAACGGCGGAGCATTTGGCAGAGTGCTGATGTGCACTTTGAGAAGAATCATTTTGGTTTGATGGTTTCACTCTTATCACTAATATAGTCATTGTTTGTACGTCTTTGATTGGAGGATATCTTTTGTTCTCTTCTGCCCTTCCCTCTTGTGTATTCAGCTACCATTAACTTGAACAATATGAATGACGGTTGGTTTGGAGCGCTGAAAGAGACAATTCAGCAGCAGCAGAACCAGCTTGTGTGGGTTTCAGAGGGCAAGGTAAGAGACAAGACTGGAATACACAACATACGCACTCCAAAAAATATATTTTATCTCACTCCATTTCTTGCTTTATTTTTTGTTTCCCAGGCTGATGGGGCAGCAGAAGATGACTTGGATATCCACGATGACCGCCTGTCTTACCTTTCGGCGCCAGGCAGTGAGTATTCAATGTACAGCACCGACAGCCGCCACACCTCTGATTATGAGGATACGGACACGGAGGGTGGGGCCTACACCGACCAGGAGCTGGACGAGACACTGAATGACGATGTGGGCCCTCCCGCGGAGCCCGCCATCACCCGCTCCTCTGAGCCTGTACGTGAGGATCCACCTGTCATCCAGGAGCCTCCAGGCTACGCTGGCTACCAGCACGGGGTGCAGCAGGACCCCCTGAACCGCATCGACCCGGCAGGATTCAAGGCACCAGCGCCGCAGCAGGTAGCGTTTCTGAGAGCTGCCCGTCTTCCCTGTTGTCTGGAGGACGTGGTATGCGTTAGAAGGGTTTTCTGGAAGCGCTATTGAAGGCACTTTATTATTTTTACAGTTATTCTGTCTATCTACTGTTACTGAATAATATCAGTGGGAAAGTAACACATTTTTGTGGTCAGGTATTAATCGCAATATAAAAACTATAGTATATGATATATAAATCTATATTTATGATCTTATTCTATCAATTTGCCTTATGTGTTTGTTGATTGATATTTGTGAGCGTGTTTTTTTATTTTTTGAAAGGTAGAAGACCTTGATAAGTTTTATTGTTACTCTTGTACTCTGTATTACCACAAGCTGTCTTATTGGTGTGACTGTTGCTGATGTCACTGGGAATAGAAACTTATGTCTGTCTAAGTGTCTGTACCAGTACTCTACTACTGACCTATGTGCACTTCCTACCTTTGTTTCACCTGTGATTGGGACTTTGACGATATATCACAAAACAGTATTATTTGCATGTTGGAAATGCCAGTGTTAATCCAGTTTTCCTGTGAAATGTATTTATCGAAACCCGATTGGCTGATGTTAGTCCCCAAGCTAAACATTTTTCGACCAGTGATGTGTTACTGAACATAAAGGGGAAAAACGACTGTATTGTAACCATAGCATTAAAACAAATTAGTAAACTCTAACAATGAAAACTTGTCCTGCTACTAATTCCTAACTCCCACATGCCATCGTTTGATCGACAGTTATCATTAAATGTAGAGGTGCGTGATTGGTTGCTGTAGGCACAAGTGAAGAGCAAACCGTTGTTGAAGGGCAGTCAAGGAAGTTACTCTTGTTAGTACTGCCTGGCAGTGTGTCAGCGCGTTATTAAACATTTCTGAACCACTTCACAGAAAGCAGAGGCCGCTGCTGTCCCTAGCATCCCCCAGCAGCCTGAGCCCTTGGCTGAAACAGTGCCCCCTGCTGTGGATGTTACTGTAAAAACTGTAGGGGGTCTGAGCCCTGACGAGTCTCCTGCAGCTCCTCACAGGCAGCCAAGTCCCAACCCAGAGGCTGGCTCCCTTAGGAGACCCACCCCTGAGCTAGCCCCTCAGAGCGTCACGCCAGAACCTCTACAGTCTGGACCGGACAGTTCAGAACCAAAGGTATCCATTTGATCGTCACTGGACGTTCCGTGAGCCGGCCCAGCTCAGCTCGGTCTGACCTGGCTGACCTCCTGTGCTGCTACTGCTGCCTGTCTACCTACCTACCTCCTGCTGCAACGCTTCTCTCTCTCTCCTTCCGTCCTGCATGTCTGCTGACCACAGTGCTACGCAGAAGAGAACAAGATGTGTGTGTGTGTGTGTGTGTGTGCGCGCGTGTGCGTGCGTGCGTGCGTGTGCATGTGCCAGAGAGTGAGCAAATGCTGGTAAACAACAGTGAGCTTGGACGTAATGGCTGTGCTTATATGCCTTCATGTGGAGCAGTGGAAAATCCTGCGGCTCTCACTGTTGCTTATCTTCTCTGCATGGCTGTGCGTTTGCCTCATTCTCTGTTAAACTCTCTACTCTGATCTGTTTGTTTATTTATCAGTGCAGACTGAATTCTTTGTAAAAGCAGCCAATAATTCTCCACCAACCAATTGTATTTATATCTTCACTGCATTTGAAAAGAAGCCTTTGGCAACTATCAATTAATTCTTTGATTGGGAATTGGATGGATAATTAATGGTTTCTTCTTAAATATCAAGATCCTAAACATATTTCTGTACAGTGAGTATGTGCTTGTAAAGTTAATTATTTTGGATGTTTAAGTTGTATTGACTGCACCAAGACAGTGGGAGACATTTTCCCTTGTGAATGCAGCATTGATGACCACAAATGAACTCTTAACACTTCATTTTGGGAAAGATCTCGGATGAGTAGTTGATGAGTAGTTATAGAAGTTGAAATTTCGATAAACCATGGTAACATTTTGCTTGTCGGCAAGAAAAATGAATCCCATTGTTTTGTTGTATATATATTTTTTTTATCAACTTTGTTATCCTTTATTAATTTAGTCTCAGTGTTTAATTTCCAGTTGCAGTGGTACATTTGGGTTTTTCTTAAGCTGCAGTGGGTGTTTGGCTGTGCAGTTATTTCTGTTTAAACTTCAATGCTATCTGACCAGTAACCCCTCCCTCTCAGTTTCTCTATTTCAGGTCTGTCCTTTCTTGTTTCCTCTTCTGCAATTAATTTCACAAACTTGTTTTGATATTCTTTTTCCATGATTTAACTGAATTCTGTATGTCTAATTATGTATATCAAATATATGATGTTTGCACAGTTGTTAACCTTGTTTTTTTTGTTTTTTTTTGTTTGGTAGATGTTTCAGAAGGATCCATACAGCACAGATAACACAGGAAGAATTGGCCACAGCATGAAGCCTGTGACTTATAACCCTCAGCAGGGATATCACCCTGAGCAGCCATACAGAGATTATGATCACCCACCCAGTCGGTATGATGTGAGCAGCAGTGGAGTCAGCAGCGGAGGTGGTTACCCAGATCCAAAGTACCGAAACTATGACTCTAACCTGCCCTACGAGAACAGTGTGCCTCACTACGACCAGCAACAGTGGAACCCTTACAGCCAACCGCTCTCTACTGCCAACTCCCAGGGATACGATCCCCGCCTGCCATATGGTGAGGGTCCTGACTCCCAGTACACCCCCCCTCTCCGCTACGATGAGCCCCCACCTTCGCACGGATTCGACGGGCGACCTCGTTACGGTAAACCGACAGGTCCAGGGCCGGTCCGTTATGACGACCCTCCACCTCCTGCTTCAGGGCCTGACATGCACTACAACCAGGATTCTCACCTGAACACGTACCCCTCAGCCACTCGCTCACCAGACCCTGCAGCCCAGAGGCCTGCCTATAACCAGGGACCAACAACGCAACAGAAGAGCTACAAACCTCAGCAGTATGACCATATCCCTGTGAACTCTGAAACCAGCCCCACGCCTCCTCCCAAAGAGGCGCCCTCACCATCACCTGCAGACGCTCCAAAGCCTGTCACAAACGAAGATGACCCTGCATTGAGGCCGCAGTCAGTCCTGACGAGGGTCAAAATGTTTGAGAACAAACGCTCTGTGTCCGTCGATAGAGCCAGAGATACAGGAGACTCATCTGGGAACAGGGTAAGTGGTTTGTCTCTATATACATTGCATAAGGCAGCTAATGCACTTACAGCAGGTACTCTTGATCTTGTACATGTGCCTCCTCTAAAGAATTAGCACTGTAGAGGTGAGCATTCCTATGTTTTAATCTTACTGATGAGGTTCATTGTTTTTGCTTCTATAGGCAGCAGACCTGCCATTAAAATCAGGAGGAGTGATCCCTAAAGCAAATTCTCTGAGCAATCTGGATCAAGAGAAAGCATATAGGTAAGCCTGTGCTGCAGATAAGCTGTTTTCACCTGCCCTGGTAAGAGTAACATTGAAATTAAAATAGTCATTTATAGTCACTTTTATTTTATGCACCCTCACTTTGACCTTCTGTCTGTATAACCTCTTCTTCTCCTGCCCTGCTCTCACCATCTATAACTCTTTTATCACAGAGCTCCAGCGCCTCAGAAGCCTCAGTCCACAATGGCGGATGACATTGTGCGCTCCAACCACTATGACCCGGATGAGGATGAGGACTACTACAGGAAACAGCTGTCTTACTTTGACAAGCTCCAAGCTCCAAACAAACCGCAGCCACAAGCACAAACAAGCAACAACTACCCCAGGTGATGCTCGCCCCCATCCACATTCCCTAGCATTCTGAACCCAATGTTATCATCTATGGTTTTTTATCTCTATGCCCTCGTCCTATCTGCCGTGTATCTCAAAATGAATTGTTTTGGTCTGCGATACAGGACAGAGACACTGGAAAAACCTAGTCCAGTGGAGAAAAAATATGAACCAATTCCCCAGGTGACGCCCTCTCTGCCACCAGCAATACTGCCCAAACCTGCACCTGAAGGTGAACATTATTTTTATCCATTACAAGTCTGTAATTACATGAATATGCATACTTCGTGAGCTGTATCAGTCTGTACTTTGTCTAATGAGAGACACACTCCTGCTTCTTCCTAAATGCAAAGAAAGAAAAAAAAAACGTACAGACGCTCAAACTTATTGACACATACTGTAGACATCTTTGGCTGATCCATTGGCTTTGTTTCTTCTTTAGCCAAGCCTTCTGGGCGAGAGGACACTGTCCAGACCAACTTCCTGCCTCACAAGAGTTTCCCTGAGAAATCTCCAGTTAATGGAACTAGTGAACAGCCTCCAAAAACTGTCACTAGCAGTGGGGCTCCACCAGCATCCACCTTCAACCGCTATGCACCCAAGCCCTACACAACGTCTGCCAAGCCGTTTGCACGCATGTTCGACAGTCCTAAATTCAACCACAACCTTCTTCCCAACGACAAGCTGGATACTGCCTCAAAGGTAAGCAGATTTCGCAGGACAGGTATTAAAAAAGTGTTTAAAAATGTTTGATAATAATGAGCTATGAAAGTTAAGATACTCAACATATGACTGTGCCCAGATTTGTTGATGTATCTATGTATTCATCTATGAATCATTGTCCTTATTTGTTGGAGGTGGTTAATTAAATAACTCACTCAGCTTAGCTGCTTCTGCCTATGCCTACAGTTTATTGCTGGCTCGCCTATTTAGAACTGCAATTAAATACAAATCTGCTTTGTGTCTTGTTGTGCTTTCCCAAAGGAAAGCTAATCCTACTTTTCCAAACAATCAGGTTTGAGTATTTTCTGTTGACATTGTATGAACCCTCTTGTGTTTTCAACAGGGCCGGAGCACCAGCCCAGTGAAGTCCGTGATCCCCCCACAGTCTCAAAACATAGACCATGACAGTGGTTTGGACACTTTCACACGCACCATGGACCACCGCTCCAAAAACCAGCATAATAACATCAACGCTGTGCCAAAGGCCATTCCAGTGAGGTAACAAATTCAGTCTGACTACAGATGAAATCTGAGGTTTTGTGCTGGACACGAGAGTATGACAGTAAAGGTATCTGTCTTCCAGCCCCAGTGCCCTGGATGATGACGAGGATGAGGACGAGGGCCACACAGTGGTTGCGACAGCTAGAGGAATCTTCAATGCTAACGGTGGAGTCCTGAGCTCCATTGAGACAGGTGTTAGCATAATCATCCCACAGGGTGCCATCCCTGATGGTGTGGAGCAGGAGATCTACTTCAAGGTCTGCAGAGACAACAGCATCCTGCCACCACTCGACAAGGAGAAAGGTAACTTTAAAGATGGGGGGATGAAGAAAACAGGGTTTTATAATTTGATTATTGTTTGAAAAAAACAGTCTTAAAAGCAGTTGTTGCATTTTGGATGTTGATGACTAAGCTGGAAAAACACAATCAACGTGATGATAAATGTAGTTTATTTGTGTTTGATTAATCAATGTTGAAAAGTGATCTTTTACTGATCTCTGATTTTTACCCAACAAAAGTTGCTTTATGCAGTTTGAGGGAAATAAGCACATCTAATTTTATCAAATTTACATTAGATGTATTAAACATTCTGTCAATGCCAGATGTTCATTTATTATATTTATTAAGTTAAAGTCTACAAAAGTTCAATCCAGCGGTCATCTCCAGATTGTATAGTTGTCAGACGCCATTGCTCCAAACAGTCCAATATTTCTGACAGTGAACTTGAGAGCACGAGTGAAAACCTGAACCCAGATAATATTGAGCAAGAAATCAGAGACAACACAACGAGCACAAGTCATTGACAATTATACAACCTTAATTCAAAGTGTTAAACGACAACAAAAAGGACTCCAAACCCACGTTCTGACATAATGCATAATATTCCCAGTGATATCAAACATGAGCACAGTGTGGGAAAACAGCAAATAATCTCAGGAACTGCTTGTGTGTGATCTTACTTTTTATTTTACTGAGCTGAATATATAACTGCTTTTTGTTTCTGTGTTTCCAGGGGAGACTCTGCTCAGCCCTCTGGTGATGTGTGGACCTCATGGCCTCAAGTTTTTGAAGCCTGTGGAGCTACGCTTGCCTCACTGTGCGTCTATGACCCCTGATGGTTGGTCTTTTGCTCTAAAATCCTCCGACTCCTCGTCGGGTATGCTGTGCTCTCTGTTCTTCCGGGGTCGTTTGGGCTGGCTGTGTGAAATTTTGAGGGTTGTGGGTCACTTTTTGAATCATTTTTTACCCCTAGTTTTGGTTTTCTTAATTAAAAATCAATTGAGAAAAACTTAAAACTACGTATTTGGTCACCCTAACCATGTGTTAGTATCAATCTAGGGGTAAAACTTCTTTCATAATTATGATTTCTGTTGGATTATTTTCATCATTTGTTCTGGTTAACTCACACATTCAATCTCTCATTCACTGCATCATTATATTTTTAATTTAGTGTGTATCCAAAAGTATCTCCTCATTCTTTTCACTTGCTTTAATTGCACTTCTTATTTTTTGATTTTCAACTCTAAATCACCTTAATAAGTCTTTCTGTTTTCATGTAACATTCATGCGTCACCCCCTTGGCTGTACAACACTTTATTTTCATCGAATAGACTTGTAGTGCATGTCCTTCTGCTCAGTGATTTTTCTCACAAAGCCACCCAAAGCCTGACCTGAAGAACAGCTTTTTTTTAAAGCTCTTCCTGGAAAGTGGGACACAGTCATAGCCAGTGATGTCCGTCATCATTCTGCAAAACGCTATCAAAAGACATTGTGTGAGCATGTCAAAGAATACCACTCTAAATTTAGCTTCTGTCTTCCTAAGTGTTCTTTATGCCAAAGTTTTCCTGTTCATTTGGGTTTTTTTAGACACGCCTCAGTTTATTTGCTAAAAGGAGGCATACAGAGAATTATAGGTCTGCAAATAGATGAAACATACAAAACTCTATGTGCCTGCTGGAGATGACTCAGGTATTAATCTGTTAGTTGCCATTTTCGGTCTTTTTGTACACAGAACTCCACTCCAATTTCTCTGTTTGAGATGTGACGCATGGGAACAGTACAACAACAAGCATTTAACAAACTAACAAAGGAGTACCAATAGGATTTCCATTAAAGCAACAACCAGACACTTGAGAGTACTGGTTGTGAATTTTCTAAATTTATATTCAACATCAATGTCTTCATGGCTGAATTTCGATAGAGAGAGAACGTCGCACCAATCACATCAGTTTTGGATCAGCTCTCTTTAGTTTATCGTGCAACTGAGCAAAAATCTAACGTAATAGAAATATATTTCATAAAAGTTGAACTCCTTCTAAGAGAGTTATTTTAAAAGCTAACAAAGAAACTACTTTCCTCCGTCCTGTTTCTAAAAGTGTTCTTTCTCACAAGTCAGCTTCAAAGCCAGTGGTAATTTTGCCAATGGTCAGGATTAGCAGTTAATTAGCCTCATTTTAAGGATGAGACTTTGGAGGGCTGAATGAGCAGGGAGCTCACTCTGTTGTCCAGCTGAATTGTGGGAGGATTATCAGGCTGCGTTGTAATCCTCTTATTGTAAAGCAAGGCCACTCTCCGGCCTCCTCCTCCTCCTTTTTTCCCCTCTGTGGTTTTTTCTCCTCACTCTGCTTCCCTGCTCAAATTCTCTGCGTTCTGTTGCGTCTTTCCTATGTTATTCTGTTAGTGATTAAATAGAGCTATAGAGGTAGGAAGGGATCTGATCACTACGGTACAGTTAAGCTCTGGTGACTTCTGTTACAGTAAAACAGAATTTGATTTGAAGTATCAAGTTATTGAAATAGTAAACTAGAAATAGATATTAAATGTTCTTAACTGACTGTTTTGTTTTTTAATGAAACATCAGACAAAGAATTACTCTGCCAGGCCCCCCTGATTTAGTTATGAAAAATGCACAAATGACATGTGACCTGTGCTTACCAGACAAGAATTAAGGCCTGTAAAATAAACACCTATTCTTGTAGTCTCACAAGAGGATATCACAATAATGAGAGGAAAGACATTTTTCAGATATAAATCTAATTTGTAGTTGAGAGAATACTTATTTTATTTGTTATAACAATGGCTGACTTTTGCTTAGTTTCTAGGCTACATTTACTCCCTCACAGACTTGTGTTTGAGAGAGAGAGAGAGAGAGAGAGAGAGAGAGAAAGTGATGAAGACTAAAGGGACGGATTTGAAGCCAGGCTGGCAGTGGCTTGTTATGGGGCCTTACCTCAAGGCTAGCTTGTTCATGCAAAAAGCCCCCGAGCGTCCAGACAAAATGATGTTCTTGTTAAGAGTTTTGTTGTTTTGCGGTTCTTCCAAAAAGGAAACAAGCCTCAGGGCAGAAGGAGGCAGTTGGTTTAACTCCTGCCTACCTGTACCTTTGCGTGACACCTTCCTCTCTGTCCTGCTGCGGCTTGCACGTGTGATGTAAATGCTCACATTGTTGTTACTGTCACTGCAAGCCCTATCTTTCTACATTAAGTTCACATCTGAAAGTGACCATCTATACTTTAATGTTGCATTTAATTTCTTTATTAATGTTGAGTTTAAAAAGCTATCCTCAAAAACACAGAGTGTTGATGTCAATGTTATAGGCGCAAAGTAACATGAGTCTACTATTCATCATAAAACTTAATTAGTATTGTGAGAGTAAACATATTTCTTTAGAACTGAAAAAGGGACTCTAATACATGTTTTTGGCTCTCCACTTTCCACATGTTTTTTTTTTTTTTTTTACCAGAACAGAAGATTGTCCTGTGGTTATATCCCTCTGTTTATCTCACTTATCACTCAGCATTTAGCACAAGATTGACAAGAGGCTGTATTTATAGTCTGTAGATGATGGGCCTCTGTTGCTCTGACTCTCTTTATACTCTGATTGATTACTGGAATGCTCCTCTTGGCAAAGACCTCTGTGTTTACAATTACACTTAGACCTCCCAGTTACTTCAGGTTTAATTTGCAGTCACAAGAGGCCAGGGACATTCAATAAAAATATGAATTGCTTTTACTAGTCCTTCGTGTAACTATGCTTGGACATAGGCAACACACCATTGTATACTTGTTTACATGGCTTACAGAGAACACATGCATCAAGTCATGCGGTCAGTGCTGCTTCCAAATTAAACAAGTATTTGTTGTAGAATACATTTAGCCATGTTAAGAGGATGTTGTAGGTAAAGTAATGCTTATGAAATGCACAACAGCTTGAATCTGACAGAAAAAGCAGCTGTTCTCTCTCACTCACCACCCTCCTCCCCATCTGTCTATCCGTCTGCAGGTGACCCAAAAAGCTGGCAGAACAAGTCTATCCCCGGAGACCCCAACTACTTGGTGGGAGCCAACTGTGTCTCTGTGCTCATTGACCACTTTTAAGACGGACCGGCAGGTGTTACTGAATGTGGAGTCATGTTGGGTTGTAAAAGTGAAGACGATGGATACACACGCGCACACACGCACACACACACACACACACACACACACACACACACACACAGACAGACGCACTCCAATTATACGTACACACGACATAATGGAGCATGAAGACCCGGTCAGTGCTGTTTACTGCAACCACAGATGAAGGCAAGACACTGATGAAGGTTACAAGCTGTTCTTTGAACTCTTTCCCCATTTTTGAAGTTTTTTGATGTGAAATGAAACCAATAATGCATGCAACGCCCCATGCCACTGAGGATTGACACTATATATTGTAAGGCAATGTTCGATGTCATTTTTACATGAATATAGATGGATGGCCTTTGAGGCAGCATACAGGCTTCAAAGATCTGTGTGGGTATATTTATGCTATATATGCATACAGTATATATAGTAGAATAGAGAAGATTTACTAAAAAAAAAAAAAAGTACTTATGAACTCAACTACAAGTCAACATCTTGTTATTTTTCAGTAACTTTAAAAGAACATGTTTTTTCCAACTTTAAATGAAGGTTTAAGACAGTCGTCAGGTAATAATGATGTTTTCGAGAATCTTTTAAAGGAGTTGGCAAAAGCTGGAAATGAACCCAAGCAGCACACTTTTAGAGACGTTCTTCCTTCATTCATAACTTTTTATTCTTTCTTTCTCCTAAAGTAATATCATGTAGCTTCATTTCTTACTGAGTCTCTCCTTCCAGCCTGAGGGAGATCTATGCATGTTCTTTACTCAGGTCCTCAGTTTCTTCCTCACATATCTCTCGCTTTTTCTCTCTTCTTCCTCTCTCTTTCTCTCCTCTTCCTCTCTCTCTCTCTCTCTCTCTCAGTGCACTCTTGCACTCACACAAATAAGCAGTGATGCCTTATCTGCAGATTATTCACTTTTCATTACAATGAAAAAAATAAGTTATGATAAATTATGGTATATGTCATTTGTTTTGCCATTTCTTTGAGAACCCACTGTATAAATGAACGGGTTTAGCACACAGTAACAGTTGATAAAGGATAACAAAGGTATGCTCTTCTTTTATCTGCTATGCATTACTTAAAAAAAAAAAACAAGAGAAAAGAAGCAGCTGTAAATAAAGCTAGCATATTGCCTTGTTTCTTTTGTTTGTAAATGAACTTTTTTGTATGTCTTTTTTTTTGTATAAAACTTAGAGAAAAACTTGTTTTAAAAAGTGGAAGAAAGTGACGGTGGTTATCTTTGTATTCTGGATATACCCTCGAGCCTTTGAACTTGTAACCTGACATTAATACATCACACCTTTTCTACCGATAAATTCGCCCCATGATGAGGTCACAAAGAAAGTCTTTTTATGGCTCTTTAAGGATGAGGAATGTGCACGGGCTACAACACATTTAAAACATGTTCTTTTGACAGGGTGTGCTCTCAAAGTGTCCCCCTCACTGATTTGTGATACTGGATGCTGTATTGTGTGCCCTTAAATGTATTTTTGTACTAATAGACAATATATGATGTATGGCACACCAGTACCATTTTATTTTTAGATATAACACGGCTTTAATTGGATATTAGCTCTTCACGTGTGGCTGACTTTTTTTTTTTTTCTCTTCTGCAACACAATTTTAAGTATACCAACCTATTAATAAATAAAATCATTTTTAAAGTAAAGTCTGTAAGAAAGTCTGTTATTTTCCACTAGAACTGAATGGTTCTCTCATCATTCATATGGAGCTGTGGTTATTATTTGCTGATAATTTCTTTAGGATATATATGAACCAAATTCATTAATTGCTCCTTTAAGAAATAGCATGAATTGACAAATGAGATGACATTTTGTGGTTTTGTCTCAATTACACTAAAAGTATGACTCTATTTTCACACAAGACAAAGAACAAAACAACTTCTCTTGTTCAAGCACTTTATGTTTTTACATTTTGGTTTGAAAAAGGACTTGCATGTACTGGTAAAAAAAAAAAAAAAAGCAAACATTTCTAATTTATTTTTTTATATTTAACTGTGGGCTGAATGTCATGGCCTAGGTATCACAGCTAGGTGGGGCAGGTGAGCTGTGAATGATTCTGCAAAAAAAGGTCTTAGCTATAAAAGTCCTTTAGCTGAGAATTTGATTAGACTCAAACTGATATTTCAAAACATCCCAGTGTTTGTTTGTTTGTTTAAGTAAGTTAAATAATCGTTAAATCGTTAAATAAATCGTAGTTGTTCACATTTACTTTATCACCAGCAACCTCAAGTTTTGTGGTTGCATTTAGGAGCCTAAAGTATTCCTTTGAATTGTAACCTATGTTTCATAAATATTCTTGGTCACAACCTTTTACAAAAGAAATGAACAAAAGAAAAATATGTCAATTAAGGAGGCTAGCAGAATGTAGGATACGTGATCTCGACTTAAAAGTCCCAGCATAAGTTGGAAGTCCACAGATGATTAAATAGAAAAATAAAAGAAAGGAAATCTTGTGTAGTTTATTTCTGTGACTAAGGTTTCTTGGTCTTGTGAAATATTAAATACTTTCACCTCGTTGAACCTCTAAATGAAACTCTGAAGCATACAAATCCCTATTTGAATAAACTGCTCACACCTTGTGTCAGGGGGGTAAACCAAGCTAGACAGTCCCTGAACTGTTTGACCAGACAGTCCGACCTGCGACAGGCCCTCATCTAATGATCATAATTATTTAACGACAATATTTGCATATTATATCAGCTGACTCAAGGAGGAGGGAGGGGAGGGGGGGGCAATCCTCTTGTGATTATGTGGTAGAACATTATTGTTAATATATTTTAGTGAATAAATGTGTATTGAAAGGCACTGTAATATATTCACACTAACTGTATCTACAAGTGTTGTTGTATGTGTAGGACCAACATCCATTACTCAAATGGGTCAAAGGTCAACAAAAAGTGCCGAAAATAATAAGTAAACAATTTGTTTTAGTAATCTCATGATTACTACTTTTGCTGTTGATTAAAAACAACATGAGAGACGGCTAATTCCAGCAATGACATGCTTGCTGCTAACATGTTGGAGTTAAAAAATGTGATGCCAAAAAATGAGGATTGTTCAGAACAAGGAGGACTGCAAGGAGAGACTGCAAGGTAGAGCACTGCCAGGTTTGACCTACAATAATAATGTAAGTTATGTTATTGTCTTTATGTGAGTGTGAGTTATTTCTGTCATGTGCTCTGTGGTTTCCAAAGTAACTTGCTCTCATGTCATTTTTATTCATAGTCAAGTATTTTGTAAATCTGGATTGAATAGTCCACAGTTGTTGTTATATTTAGCCTTTGTTTTGTAAAGTAAGTAGGCTAACCTGCCTTTTTAAAAGTATTCACTCAGGATAATTGGATCTCGATTCTGTGTTGAATAAAAACCATTAGCCCTGACAACAAACAACCAAGCTCCTCCATAAATCCCCCAAACACAATTTTCTGTCACCGCTGTTGTTTAGCATACGAATTTAAAGAATTTGGTCAACTTTAATAAAATAATAACAAAGCGATATGACGGTATTATGCTCGTGTTACCCCTAATGGCCAGAGGGTGGGGCTATTGCTTCTATTCTGAAACTGTGTTGAAATATCATACACTATCTGCAACGTACCTGTCCACGTTGAATTCTATTAAATTCAAAAGACTTTTTGTAATTTTAAGTTCAGTTATACCGTATTGGGAAGATCAGGCAAAATAATTCTTCATCATTCTGCTGGTTCCAGGTGATATGAAATACTTTTTTTTTGTCATTTTTTAAGCACAATCCGCTCAAAGTGTATCTTATTGATGTCTTTCATTGTTTGTACTTTTTACCCCATTTTTTCTGTCTCCTTTTACGTTTTCTTTTCTTCTCTCTTTCCTTTCTTCTCTCTGTTTTTTATTTGCATGTCCAAAATAAACTCAAGTAGATACATTTATACCCTTTCTCACTACACCCTCGCTCTTTATCATAAACAATGTTTGACGACTCAGGAGTGATTTCCTGAGGCTCAAGTCACCTGCACCTTGCCTAACTGAATTTAAACCAGACATTTTCCCAAGCCGTTTTCCTGTATTCTGCTTCAAACTGGGAATAAAATGAAAAGACTGAACCTGTGGCTTCTTCATGCAACACGGAGCATGTCTTTCAACGTGCGCTCCCTCTCCTAAAAATACACCTCATTAAGTCCTTCACCATGTTTTCACTATAGGCCTACATCATGCGCTACATCACCAGCAGCGGTGACAAATGACGCGTAGGTTTGCAGCCCACCTCCCCCCTCCCCTCCCCTCCCCTCCCCACCTCCCCACCTCCCCTCTCGTAGTAAAACACGCTCCGTCCGCGCAGCGCGTCGCCATGCAAGCGCGCAGTGGCACATCTCCAACAGGCCTACTCAGTGTGCATCTCCTGTCCTGGCTGTTAGATCTGCTGTCGTCTGTGAAAGCACGGCTGCTCTGCCTCACACAGGAGTAACGCGGCTCGTTCACAATTGCGGGATTCAAGGCATTGACAAACGGAAATCTTGATTTCAACCTTTTACACCTTTTCTGTTTTCTTCCAAGGAGTGCAGACTCACCTTTTTCTTTTTTTCTTTTTCTGCACCTTTCCTCATCTCCCGCTTTTGAGTTGTTGGAGAGCCCGCAGAGGCGAGCAGGACAGCATGGCAATGGTGCAAGGCTGGCTGACGGCAGGATGATGTGTTGTATTTCTTATTGCCTTTTTGCGCTTTGACTTTGGAGGAATGGGCTCTTTGCCGGAGCTTTCACTCCAGCGGTTTATTTCGTATATCTGGACTTATCATAGCGCTTCTTTCTGTGTGTGTGCTTATTAGCATTTTGTTCCTTCTGGTCCAGCAGAGTCTTCTCTCACCTTCCTCCTCTCATCCTCCTCCTCCGCAGCGCGTGTCTAATTGGAGCGACCGCGAGCGTCTTAATTGAAGGCAATTACCCAGGTCGGAAAAAACGATCTCTAGTTCGGCTTTTTAACAGTTTACTGCAGAGCGAAACACACAGACTCTGCTCTTTGTGGATGTTTCCGTCTCGTTTTCGTGCTGCTGTGTTTGTCGGTTGTACCCTTCAGTGACAATGCCGGTGCACGCGCTGCCCCGCGGTGGTGGCGTTGGCAGCAGCATCGGCGGTCCGGGGTCCCTGAGCCCGGCCTCGCTGTCCCGCAGTCTGTCCCGGCTTAGGGAGTACCGGACCCGGACGGGGATCATGCTGGCACTGGGAGTCTCTCAGATGGTCCTGGGGAGTCTCATTCTGGCGGTCAGCTTCGCGGCTCTGGCTCTCACTACATCTCCCAGAGTCCGTCACTCCTGTCCCTTTTGGGCTGGCTTCTCTGTGAGTATTGCTTCATGATGATCTGTTAAAACAGCATGGTAATACAGTGTGATTATGTATCTATGTATTTGTTATTTGGCATTTATTAACAGGAATGTGTGTGACTACATTTGTATCATGGAACGAATGGATGTTTATTGTGACTGCTGACTCCAAGGAATATAACAATTCGTTTTGGTGGATTTCAAAGAAGTCCAGTTTATTAATCTCAGGTTCAGAGCTGAGCTATATTCCGAGAGAATAAATGATTTTCTCGTTTAAGGGGAGAGCCAATCGAAGGGAGTGGGAGGATAAAAACGCACACACACTTCACTACAGTAATATCAGCTACACTGCAGTTCTTCCTATATGTACTGCGGGATATGTTTGGAACGATCATCTTTATGATGTTGTGTTTTTATACATGTGACATTTTCATGGTGGTTTCTGTAAATATTCATGAAAGCACACATCCCTGATTTCCTGCCAGAGACCCAAAAGTCCATTAATTATAGAGGCAGCGGGGCAGGGTGAGGGGAGGTCTGTGGCACGGGGGCCATCTGTGTGTTTGTGTGCAAGAGAGATATAGAGAGAGAGTCGTGTGTTACTGCCTGTATGAGTGAGCGTATATAGTTACAGGGGAAATAGTAAGTAACCACAGGGGTCAGAGAGGTCAAGGGTCAGTGCACATTCTTTATCAACGCTTCAAGCTGAATCCACGTCATCGGGCCTGTGCTCCTTGCTACCTTCTTTTAATCTCCATGCACCAGGACCTGATGCAGCTATCGATGGGGCCCAAAAACACAGATTAAAACAGCAGTCGAACGTTTTTCAGACAAGAATAAAACTTTTTACTAAGGTCATATAAAAACAAAGTAAAATCTGCAACAAAGAAGGTGACTCACTTAAACCAGATTACCGGTACATTGTTCTTCCTTATTATAATTATCAACCAGGAGAAGCTCATCAGAGATCATCTTCAAGGTTCAGGGTTTCTTTATTAATACGTAAAAAGGTACTTTTGTTGTGTAGATGAGAGATTCAAACAATGTCCGGTATTTCCAGTAATGTCACCTGGCTGCTCTTTATAGCTCACATACCTTTACTGAATATGACTGTGACTGTGCACAATATGTTTGTCCAAAACCAGAAACTGGAAAAATAAGAAACGCATGCATAATAGAGAAAAAAAGGTTTCACCTCAGTGAAGAAGGGCAGTCATGCAATGTCCCCCATTTAAGTACCGGTAACATTTAAACACCGGAGCAGTCCTCCTGAAATTATCTAGATATTTTCAGGAGTGTATATGTGAAAATGGCCTTGGACTCACTGAGGTGCTGGAAAAATGTCTTTCAGTGGTGCCATATCTCAGATAATGTCCTGGCGTCCAGCTCTCTATCCAGAGATGCTGACTAATCAACTATTTTGCCATCAAGCAATTATAAAGCGGAGGTAACAGTTTGTGAAGTCAAGCAGAAATACTACAAGAACATTTAAATAAGTTCAAAATCTTCAGAGTTAACATTAAGTCTGTAGTGTAAAACGTGGGATTTAATAGAGATGTATCTGTATCACCTGGAGTCAATGCCAGTAGCAAAAAAACAGCATCCTCTGGATATTTGAACTCAACGGCCTTGGAGTGGATTTGCTTGAAAATGTAGTCTTTTTTTCAGGATTTTAGTTAAGGTAATTAGACAAATCATCAGAGTCTATATAGGGTGGCTTGGGATGCTTTTTGGCAGCTCTGCGGTTTAGTCTTATAAGGAAAGTGTGCTTTCATAGAAAAGCTAGCCTTGTGCATCTTCAATATGCTGTTAAATAATCTGCTCTTACTGTTAGAAAATGATTTTTTTCTCTCTGGATCTTAATGTGCAGCTGTGTGTAACCAGTTAATAATCACCATGGTAGTGTAGAGAATGCAGTGTTACCCCTACCATAGGGGGGCGGCCCGCCCCATGAAGGTCAAGTTAACAATAAAAAAAAATATATATTTATTTTTGGGCTTTTTGTGCCTTTATTGTAGAGATAGGATAGTGGATACAGTCGGAAATCAGGGAAAGAAGTCATTTAAGGATACCTTTCTGATAGAACAGGACATCTGTCATTAAAAGTAACACATGAACACCAAGATTCCTTCAAGTGTTTGTGTCGGTGTCCGTCTGCCCCCACCCCCCCAAAGCTGTAAACCTAGGCGAAACACTGGCATTTTAAGAGAATTGGTATCCCAAATATCTTTTTTCCATTTAACCTTGATCCAACAGGGATCCCATTGAGATACAAAAATCAATTTAAAGGGATTCCGGCCAAGACAGCTGCACAAAAAGGTTCCTCCAAAGAACAAACAACAGACCAACAAGCAGAAATTACATCGAGCCATAAACTTAATAGTGTTCAGCAGGAAAACATGTGCAATTGTGCATGTGTTCAAGTAGAACCTCTGATTTCCAGAGAGAGAGGTGTCCTTGAAGTACCAGCTTTTTGACACTGTACGTTTTAAAGCATTTAAATGTAGCTAGAGTAGCATTGAACCTTGAAGATGTGTTGAGCTTTCCGCATATTTATGAACTGTGCTAATCAGTGTTAATCTCGTCAACGAAATAAATGACGAAAATATTCGTTGACGAAGGTCTTTTAAATTAGTCAACTATGACGATGTAGAGACAAAACTCTGCTTTTTGACGATTTGATAAATAATATTACTTCATCATCTAACTGATGAAAATGTGACCAAACGAAAACTACATTACAAGTGATGGTGTCTGTGATGGCCGCTGTGGGTTGTCGTTAAGAATCTCTGTGTGATGAGAGGTATTGTGAAATTGCATCACAGTCACAGTGAGAGGAGGTGTAATCCTTCCTTCCTACGCAGAGCAATCATTGGTGAGCCCAGCCTGGTTGTCTGTCTTCCTCCTCCTCCAAAACACACACACATAGGTTTAGAAACACCTGAATTAAACTGTCAGTCTCATCTTGATTTTCCATACTCTTAACAAAAACATATTTAACAGTTTCATAGAAACAGAAAGAAAACTCAAACCTGGATATTTTAAGTGACCGGCTTTGTGCTGATCACTCACTTGGTACAGAGCCCACACAGTCTCTCTCCACTACTTCAGTGTGGTGTTGTTCAGCTAACAAAGCAAATAAAGTTTAATTCTGTGGAAAATACAATGGTTAGCTAGCTCATTAGCCAGCTAATTAAAAACTTTTAACTTTAACTTTTAAAAAAGTGCTATCAGAACCTTTATTTATACCTTGCTCTTTTTCAAACCTACCCCTGGGTTTTGGAATTTTAAACAATCATTCCAAAACTCAGGCGTAGCACACGAGCAGGCCACCACATCGCTAATCTACAGAAATGTTAATTTTTTTTTAACAAAGATGACGCAGTGCTCTTTCGACAAGCCAGGTAGACCACAATTTTGCACACTGTGTGAGGCCCGGCCTACAGTCACTCTAACTCTGGTCTGCTCAGCCAGGTTACCATCAGGTTTGGCAGTGAATCAAGCCGCACTGCTGGCTTTATGGATGATAGATGAGGCATCGTGCCCGTGTCAGCCACAGGGCTGCAGCAGCTGTCAGCAGCTGACATGCAGAACAAATTACTGTTCACCTCTCATCTCCACAAATTAAACTCGGAACCAATTCAAGTGTCCAAACACAAACACAGACCGCCTCTCCCTCCCATTCTCATCTCTCATAACAGCAAATAAAAACAAAATATGTAAATCCATCAGAGGGGTTATTGCAGGCATCATTTACACATTCACATTAGTTTCTGATATCTGTATCGATGTGATATTTCCTCTCCTCCTGCTGCTCCAGAAATGGATTTTCTCTCTTTTTTTTTAAATCCCCCCGCTCTCCTGGTCGTGTGGAAGAAGATGACTGTGGATTTTGTGTGCAGCCGCTCTAAAAGTAACACTCCAACATCCCCAATCTTCAGACTGACAAAGACAACTTAGAACCGTATTCTTGGTGTTTGTTGTGAGGCAGCTCTCTCTCCGCCGGATTTCCAGCACAAACTGCCAGCAAATTCTGCAGCGAGTGTGCTTACGTGTGTTTGAACAGAGGGCTCCAAAGTGTTTTGTTGGAGGTTTTTGTATTGCGGAGGCTTTTTAAGTCTCTGTTTGTTTGTGTGAGTGTGGAAGAAGAGTAAAAGTCAAATTATTTACGCAGAAAATGGAAATGCATTTCATTTGGTGGTTGAAAATAATTGCATGTTTGCATTTCTTTCATAGTATTGTTTTTAGTAGACGCAGACAAAGAGGCGGAAAGGTTTAATTAAATTGTTTATTGCTTCGTACTGCTGTTTCTGCTTTTCTCCAGCGAGGAAATGTGAGCCATTATTAATTAAAGGCCTTATTAGGCTTAAGTTGTATCCTGGCAACAGGTCTCGCGACACAAACATGTATACATGTAAACTCTGTATTTAAAGTGCAGTGTGCAGTGCTCAGCAGACTTTCATCTGTTGAATATGAACGAAGCGAATAAAAATATGCTTCTTGTCAGGACAATTAAAGGCGGTTTTCTCTGCCTTGAAATCTCTGTCGAGCCAGGTGGATGTTTTGTGGTTCACAAAAAGATACTCTAACTTTGCTTAATGTTTCTTATTGCTGTTCTAATGATGGATTACCGTTGAGTAAGGTCTTTTACCTGCTCTTTTGATGTGTCTTGAGATAACATTTGTTATGAATTGGCGCTATACAAATACATTTACAAGTACTTTTTTACATGATTAGCCAATATTTTGTGCATTGCTCGGCTAAGATACAAAATGACTGATGTCAAACTGATTTATATCCCTTTGCTGCCACGTAGGCTTTAACTTTTGAGTTCCTGCTCAGTCAGAGGAAACGTGTTCTAAAACATTGAGTCAGCAGGTTTTCATGAAGAGAGCGGTAAAGAAATAATTAGTTTCTTACGGACACTGCTTTTTTTTGCGTATGTAATAATTCCATTACCATTGGCACCATCATCAAAACAAGTACACGTTTTATTATACTGCACGTGTGTAAATG